TGAGAACTGGCGACTTGGTAGTACAACTTTAGTACGCGGAGTATCTGGGGAGTGGGAAGATGAGAACTGGTGACTTGGTAGTACAATGACTTGGTAGTACAACATTAGTACGCGGAGTATCCGGGGAGCTGGAAGATGAGAACTGGCGACTTGGTAGTACAACTTGAGTACGCGGAGTATCTGGGGAGCTGGAAGATGAGAACTGGCGACTTGGTAGTAGAACTTTAGTACACGGAGCAATCTGTGGAGCTGAAAGATGAGAACTGGCGACTTTGTAGTACAACTTTACTACGCGGAGGTGACTTTCGAGAGGTGAAGAACTTGCAGAAAACAGGTGTTCCTGCGCTTCAGAAAGACATACAGAGAGAGACACACACACACACAGACATAGATACACACACACAGAGACCCACACACTGCCTCAACACACTCGACTTAACACTTCACACCGAACACTTATAACACACTTAACAGATAACTCGCACTCTGACTTCCTACGTGATGAAAAATGCTTTCGGGCCACTCGTCGTCTAGTTTTTTTCCACTTCCATGTGTTCGTCAAGAGATGTAATGAATTCTTCTTTGTGGTAGCGGTGCGGAAGAGCCAGGTCATGCGAATAGGTGACATGCGCCACGTGAATCTCAACGGCCAAAAGCAGCGCCGCTGAGGTGAAGGCTTGCAAAGGCTCGACTGGAAGGCGAGGGGTCGGCCTCTATACGGCCTATAGGGGCAGTCCTGTGACGAGGGCCTCCCCACCATCCAGAACCCATCTGTGACGAGGGTGGCAACAGGTGAACTTGGGGTTTTCTGGGCCCAAGATGCGTGACATCATGGGTTTTGGGGAGAGGGTTGCACGGCTGCACCCCAAACACGCCCATGCTCAAACTGAAAGCCTTCCCTGCTTGGAGGTTTTTGGGTCGACGGTGTGCTGCGACAGGAGGGGGACGAGGGCGTGCTGTTCAAAGCCTTAGACTTCGACGGCGATGGCCTCGTGAAGCCCAGCGGCTTGAGCCTCTCGGCCGTGGTGGCGTGAGACGCAGGATTGAAGCTGGAACTTCAAGCAAACATTGATTCAAGGATGATTTAAGTATTTATAAATAAATATATACATATGGGGAGAGAGAGAGAGAGGGATGCGATGATATCCTGAATATCTTCATCAAAGGGATGAGTACATGCAAACATTAGATGTGATGGACTCCAGAGATAGCCAAGGAGGTAGCCGTCAACACCTTTCACATACCTCCACCCGCGCGGTCGAGGCCGCGATACTCCACCTGCGCGACACTCCGTTCCGCATCGCCCGAGGGTGGCTGGCCATTGAGCTGAAGCGTCTTCGAAAGAAGAGAGTGGCCAAAGAGAACGCTGCGAAGGTGGAGAGAGCTTGATCAACCGGTATTTTTGATACAGTTACACTGATAGTTACACTGATATATACGATGTCTTGTGTAGCATATGTAGAACCATTGAGGTTCAGATCTGGAACAAGACACCAAGTGGATGAAGTGGGCTTAAACATCTTCTGAGTCTTCTGCTTCTGATGCTACTGTAAGATCTATTTTGGACCGTGGTCTCATCCTGGTGCTCAGTAGTGGTGTACACTCATGCCAAGCTGATATGTGCCGTTCTTTCCTCACCAGTGCTGGCTCACGGTTTTCTTAAGGAAAACCGGCTCACAGCCTCCTCCGTTCAGCGAAACCGTCGAGTCCGGGCGCCAGAAGAAGATGCCTGGCATCTCCTGGGAGCTCCTCGAACGACAGTCCGGGACCCGGTCGAAGACAGCGCTACCGCGCGGACGCGGTCGGACGAAGTGAAGTACCCCCAAGGGCGGGTGGAGGTTATAGGAATGAAGACAAAGGTCCAAAAAGAGGATCATTTATTTGGGCAACTATGGCAAAGGTAGATTTTATTTCATTTTACTGACTATTTATTTTACCTTTATTCTTTCCCAAAGCAACTCTGGTCGCCAAGCTTCTGCGATCGTCTCACTATCGTGTTGAGTCTGAGTGGCGACTGTGACTAGATTCCCTACCTGAAAACATTATATTGGTTGTTTGGACATTTGGAGATCGTGATTAGATGTTGGGGCTGTGCTTTGCTTGGAAAAAGGTCCTTCGAAAAATGTCTTCTTGGCAAATGTGGACAATGGCTAGATAAACAACGGAGGTGCAAGACCTGAACCTTTTTTCTTGACCTGAGGTTACGCCATTTTACATCATCTTACTCCTTGACTCCTTGACACTTTCCACTTGAATGACCATGCAGTCACCAGTCCTTCTCGGTTTCACTTGAGATAGGTCAACAACCATATACTGTGTGATACGGTGTGCATAAGTAACATAACAACCTAACATAATATATATCACAACATTATATATTATATTATATTATGTATATATATGATATATGTGTGTATGTGATTATGTGTGTGTGCTGTTATTTGTTACTAAAATCCCTCTTGCGTCACTCTAGCCTTTCTTGCATTCTCCTGTCTTGCCTCCTGCCTCCCACACCGCAAGTTGCAGGTTCCTTGAGTTCCGGGATGATCTGCGAAAGAGGCCGATCGCATGGGCAGCGACCGGAGCGATTCCTTGTCGGCCGAGCCGACCAACTCTGTTGCTGTCGCCTTTTACACGGGCGCGAGGCCGACGGTCGCGCACCGCCAGGTTTGGCAATGGCAGCTTGGTGCGTGCGTGGCGTGTGTCCTTGTCAGATACCATGATCCTCCCCAAGACGCGCTTCTTGAAGGACTGGGGTGCTCTTTTTTTTGTTTGCGCCCGGTGCGGAGATGAGCAAGGATCCAAATCTAGAAGTTTGCATTTTTAAAGCAGTGCTGGTGGAGCTCTTACATGCGACGGGTCATATTCACAACTAGAAGAAGTAGAAATCATATGGAAGAAAACTCCCGCTTTCAACGGACTTCCGCCATGTCACCCGGCCAGTTTCACGGCTTAAGAATTCACCGCTTCTTAAGCAGCCCACTATGGAACTAGATTCGGAGGATTGGCGTCTGAGGGTCCTAAACTGTTTGGGATTTGGCCGGGCAGTGGAGGCCTGTGTCAAGATGGGCTATGCCAAGAAGGCCAAAGAGCTCTGGAAGATCTTGGACAAGGAGATTTCCGGAAGCCCGTTTCCTACTGGCCTTTGTTTGACCGCTATATATTCCACATATTTACCTATACATCGGGACACATTGGGTGGTTTCAGGGGTCAATGTAGGCATATATTCCACCATGGAGTGTTTGGATACTAGTTTGCTTACCCATTCCACTTCCAAAGCAATTGCGTATCTATATATACCTAGATCTTCAGTCCGGCACTTTTACAGGGTCCGGCGCCGGACTTCCAACTCCGGCGTTTTTCTGGATTTGGTCCGGCGCTTTTTCCAAGTCACTTTATGTGGATTCTCAAGGCTTTGCATTCTTTGTGGTCTGCATTTCTTTGAAGTTAAACCCACTACTGATGCAATGATTTTGTTTGCAAAGTGTGCTCGTTTGCCTGTTCCGCTGTTTTCTCATTCCACCGGTTTCAGCATGGTTCACACTGGATCAATCAGATCCGTTTAGCTGATCTTCTAAATGAAATCGGATGAAGCCGGTACAGTGCGATGCACCTGTTGAAAGACCCAAGTGGGTGCACCTAAGCTGAAAGAGCATAGGCAAAAATGTACAGTACTCCCATTGTTTCAGGATGTCGGGGCGCTGGGATATAGTTCTAGCTGCGCAGGTTTGCAGAGCCTGCCGGACACGTTTTGGGCTGTGGAACATGTGTTGTTCAGAATCTCAATGTTTTGCAGAGAGTTGTCAAAAAATTGCACGTCGTAACTCCGGCGTAATCTCCCGTAATTCCGGCGTAATTTCCCGTAACTCCGGCGTATTTTCCCGTAACTCCGGCGTATTTTTGTTGGACTGAGTGTTCTGCAGGCTTTGATTGTGAACAGTTTTTCACAGAAGAGTTTTGACAGGAACCATGAGTTCTGCTACTTTATTGGGGGGCCGTCCTGAGGCAAGCTTTAAAGAAACATTAAGAAGCATGAGAATCATGAAGAGCAACCCACTTTGTAAAAAAACACTTGAGAGACACGGTTGCAGAGAAAGAGGGGTTCCTTGCCACATACTCCTTGGTTTTTTCTTGGAAGTCTTTGCTTGGGCACAAGTTGCTTTTGTTTTGTGATTTCTGCTCCATTCGGAAGATGGGCGAGGGCAATGGGAACGGGAAGGTTCGAGTGTGCTCCAGAAAAACTACTCGCGGCGCAAAGGCAGTTTGCTTGTGTATGATCCAACCTTTTATCATCTCTGTTTTTCAGAATCTTGGATCCGGATGTTTTTTCAGGTCTCCGGCGTTTTTTTCGGAATCCGGCGGAAAATTTTGCCGGATTGAGGTCCGGCACTTTTTTCCGCCCAAAGGAGGATCCAGGTATACAGTAGTTTAAACAAGAGGGTGAACACCAGCAAGACAGTCTTGCTGTTGTTTGCTTGTTCCATTGGGGACGAGAGGGCATCAAACATGCACCGCCCTTGGGCTCGTGTTGCCGCTCCTGCCACCTCCACCCCAAAAACATCCCATGTAAGGCCGGTCGAAGAGGTGTTCCGAAACATGTGGTTTATACCTCTAATTATTGGAGAACCTCAATTGCTGATCATCCGTCTACCCTTGACTCATGGGCCAAACAAATGCAAACAATCCAGGGGTCACATGGAGGGCCTGGGTGGTGTGGCTCATCCCATCCGTTCCGGGCCGTGGATGTGTTCGGGGCACCCCGACTTCGGCGTCCGCACCCCGGTGGCCACGTGACCGCATGGCTGGCACAAAGCCCATCCGACCCCCCCCCCCGCGCTCCACCGAGTTGGCCGGGCCTTCGGTGGGGGCACCCGGTCGGCCAGAGCGGCTCCCACCAGTGGCGGTGCAGGTTTGGAGATCTGGTCTCAGTTCCAACCACTCCCACTACCCCCAGCACTGAAAGTACTCTGAAATCACACATGGGAGTACTCTGAAATCGGCCTTCAAGCACATCTCATCACTTGGAGGTCGTGTGTGCTGGCGGAGCATTCCGCAAGGGAAAAACCAAGACCGCAGATTGGGGGCTCACCTGCAGGTATAAACGGCATACTTAGAGGCTCCAAACAACCCTTGGTGCCTCGAAACCTAGGCTTTGGAGACCCCTGACCCCTCCATATGAGGGTCCAGGATCGCATCTGGGTAGAACCGAATGGGTTGGATGAGAGCCGCTGAAGCTCGTCCGCCAAGAAGCCTCCAGGATGAGAGCGGCTTCGCCTCCATCGATGAATTGGATCCCAAGGGTGCCCAGGTGCCCCGAGAAGAAAACGGAACGCGGAAGATGCAACAGACCGGTGTTTTTGGTACATTCAGTGGAATCATCATGGAACTGGATGGTGTGTGTGTGTGTGTGTGTTCTTTTTTTAAATAAGGGGATGACCATGGAATTCGAATACCAAACAGGTGGTGCCATCCACTTCCTTGATGTGTTTGAGACAGTACCTGAATTTTCAGAGACGTGAACTTGGCAAGAGGCGGGGAGACGCTACTCTCAGGAGATGGGGCTCTCACCCCCCCCAACAAGTTTTCCCCTCTCACCCCGCACATCAAACACAACCAGAAGTTCCGCGCCGCAGCGCATCAAACCGCACACACCTGCATACTAAATTCCGTGGCGTACCCCATTGCCTGCCTCACCAAACTACCTCTCCCATCAACTGCCTGGCTGAAAGAACCGCCCCCCCCCAGTCGGTCTGCCAGGTCTTAGCTCATTTCAAGAAGTGCTTGGACGAGCGCTTCGCCAGCATCGCGGATGCCTTCACCTTTCTGGACCTCGAGGGCACACGGAAGATCCGCAAGTCCCAGCCCCTCGCTGCGGTGCTGCGGTGCTTCCAAGCGCGGGCCCGGCTTGGGGGCCGGTGGTTGGTGATGGTTGGCCAGCCATCAAGAACCACCAAGAACCAGTCAGAGTCAGTCAAAGAGGGGAATTGCCTTGTTTTATGCTGGAACCCCGGGGTGGGGTGGGGCCTGAAGGTCTAAAGTTTCGTCGGGTGGGAGCTTTACAGAAACGCCAAAGGATGCCAAGGGTTTTGGGCTGAAGTCGTTTTCCAGAATTCTGGGAGAAGGAGTGAGAGATGGTGAACCTTGGCCAAGATCGGCATCCAGTTTTTGTCCACCTGGTTCACATTCCCCCAAGCAATCAGGGGCCATGGGGCGCCATGGCCCCGGCAGGATGACGGAATCCGATTGCCGGTGTTGCCATCCACTTCCATGATGTGCTCAAGGAGTGCAATTATTGCTCAAGGACAGAAATTCAATGTTCTTGTTTCTCCAGTGCCTCCCAGGACAACTGGAGTTTCGTCAAGTTGGTTGCCTCATGTTGCCTCTCCAAAAAAATTACCGAAACTGGAGCCATCCATCAGCCCATCCATCCAAGAAAGTTCGAAGCTGCCACCGTCCAGCGCCTGTTTCTTTGGTTCTTTCTGCACTGGGAAAATCAATGAGGCGACACAGCCCGACAGAACACCTGGAGAAAAACGCCTGGTTCATGGGCTGACCGCGGTGTACCTGCTCGGAATCTTAGGTTCGAGGCTGCCTTGAGGAGGTTGGAGTTCCCCTACTTGGAGCCTTGGTGGAGCCCCTGGTGCCTGCGGACGGTGGTGGAATGGTGGAGTGTTTGCGGCGTTTGTTTCTTGGTGATGTTGGGCGATTCCCACAGAAGGTCCGGACTAGATAAGGTCAGAAGGTAAAACACGAATGAGAGACATGTTCAGTTCAACAACATGTGTTTGTTCGGGTGCGTCCCATGCCCCCTAAAAAATCGGCAAAGGATGATCACCTTTTTTGGAGTTTAAGGAAAGGCTATATATATACCAGGACCCTCCAACAGGTCACCACCTGCGACTTTTAAGTCTCCAAAAGCCACCAGAGGAGACCTGTTGGAGGGTACTGGTATATATATATATATATTCATTATATATACTAACCATCATCCACTGAGCCCCGGGAGGTTGGCGATATACAGCGGCGATCTCGGGAGTACAACGACCTTGCGTCGTCCACGGATCGTTCCTAGAGATTTCGTTCGTGCCAGTTGAGCAGTTGGGGGTCCTGGGAACTCCCCACAGCTTGGCGAGGGCAGGGGGCCTGACGCGGCGCCGTGGAGCTCAGGACACAGCGGCGGAGCTCTTCGAAAGTGGCTTGGGCTGGTGGACCTTCCTTATTACGGTCAAGTCAAGGCATGGAGACAGCATGGAGATACACTATCCAACACCCCCCAACCTGGGGACCAGGAACATCAAGGAACCATAAGGAATCCCAACCTTGAGATCCACAACCCACCGCAGATTAAATGGCCCGGTGAGGCCGATTCTGACCCCCCGCTCATCCTGTGGGCCATCTGAAAAGACATCTAAATGAACTTTCCTGCGGATGGAAGGACAATGGGTTGCTCAATACATACCATGGTTCCATGGACAAGTTGACCAGCTCCAAGGCTTGGATGTGGATGGGAACCATTTGTTGGAAGAGGATGACATTCAGCTCCTTGCATGAAGAAAGAGCTTGCCAGCTGCCAGCTTTGATTCGTTTGTTCGCGGAGGGCCAGGTGGGAACGGACTTCAAAACACTTGCGACCTCCGAAGCTTAAACAGCTAACAATGCTCAATGGTGAAACCAGGTGAAACCATGTCAAACCAAAAGACCTAAGACTCGGCAGAAAGAAACCACCCGAGCCTCTGAATCAGACGCACCGGACCGCCGGTTTTGGAGCCCCTAAACCGCTGAAGACCTCGCCGCTCCAAATCCTCCGCTCCTCCACGAACTGCATTCACCTGGATCCAAAGATGAATCACCAGGACCTTCTGACCCAACTTGATATCCCAGGATGGGATCACTTAGGTCTGTACAAGGTCACAAACAGAGACTCCAGTTCGAGGTCAACGGCTCAGGTCCTGGCAGCTTATCACGGCTCGGTGACCGACCGTCCGTCTGAACGTCCGTGGCGTCAGGTTTTTGGAGAAGTGGAGCCCCTCACCGATCCTCACGGCGCAGCCCAACGTCAAGGCCCGCGATGAGGTCAAGGAGGCGCTACTGCTGAAGCAGCTGGGCGTAGCAGGCTTCGGCGTGGTTCATGTTCGGTGGCAGGGGCGGAGGCGATGTCGGCGGCCAGTGTTGGTCTCCGCGTTTATTTTTTTCGTTGCCTTGAAGGCCTGAACTGTGTAATCCTTTCGTTGTAGGGATGTGTCGTACAGCTTATTTGGATTTGGAGGATCTTTCCACCTGGCCTGGTGTGAAGTTTCGAACGGTTTTTCCATCTTCTTGGTGAGACAGTTGCAGAGTCCTTGAGAGAGCGAAAAGCTGGTCCCTCAAGGGAGCTCATGGGCAGAGGTGACGTTTGCCTGCCCCACCAAGGACATGATAACATGCATAAGATGCGTGATACCACGTGATGCCTCTAGTGGAACTTCTGGCTTTTGGAGCTATATCGAAATATATAGGCTTAAACAAACTACACTATCCATACTGAATCCATACTGTATATATGCTACGTTCTGCACCTGAAGACACATGCACCTGAGAATCCATGAGAGAGATGATGTCCACTCGAAAGCCACTGGCTCTTTTTTCGCCCCCGAGTCGAGGTACGGCCGACCGGTGAAAGCTTGGTACCTTGGCACCGGACGTCGCAGCATGGGGCGCTGGGCGCGTCGGGGGTGTCCCTTCTTCTATTTCACCAGCTGAAAACCACCCATGAAACCACCCAAACACCACGTCCATTGGCTTTGTTGAACTGTCGGATGAGAATCTCCTGCCGGACGGCACCACTTCTGGAAAAACAAAACACGCACACGTCCTAGCTTGTAAGAGCTTCATTTAGAGATTTTGTTCCCCCTCCCGCACTCAAGCGCCTGGATCTCCCTGCTCTCAGGAGGCATTTGTTAGATCGCGATGGCAGCAACCGTCCGGACAGCCCAGTCCCGACGCCTCCAGACGCGCTGGGTGCACGGCCACCGGGCAGACCTGCCAGCGCACTTGGCAGTGGCCCTCCATGGAAATGGACAGGTCAACTAGTGTTGAGTAGGATGCAGGGTGGCAGTTTTCCCCCACAAAAAAGGTGGCGATTAGTTAGGTTTGAGCATGAGAAGAACGTCTCATGGATTGACGATCTCAAGGTCGGAGAAGGAAGGAGGCTCACAGAACTCACTCGGCAAAGCACCTGCTGCGAATTCGCAGGTTACAACCAGATCAAATCCAGTGAGAAATCGTATATGAATCAAGGGGTCTAGATTAGTCTAGATTGGCATGAAGATCCTCAAGTGTACACTCCCCCTGTCTTAGCCATGCATTGTTTGGAGCCCTTTGCAGTGTAGAGAGCTCACTCCCCCAAGACGCTGGCTGAGTTGAGGCTGCAACTGGCATGAGTTCCTGAACGCTTGCAAAATCATCGGCTTTAAAGGCAGGATCCAACCCGATATGGGGGCATTGAATTCGCTGGCGAGATCCTCTGAGACCTGGAATTGACTTTAGGATCAGATGGAAGGCGAGTTGAAGGGTTCAATTCATGGAATCCAGATGGCTTCGAGGGCATCTTTCTATTTTTGTTCGATCGTGCATGACTGAAGGAAAACACATACGAAGTAGCTGCTGTATAGAATCCTCCTCAAAACGAGCGAATCTCATGACCCCCAAAGCGTCCCCCCAATTGACGCTTCGTTTTTCCGGCCTTCGGTTCCGCGCGGCTTCTTCCGCGGGTCCGCGCGCCACACCAGGCGACGTGGCCGGCGCCTGGCGGGCCTTCGACGAGGATTTGTCTGGGCACGGGATTCCCGGATCTTCGAAGGGTCGTCGGTGGTGCTGAAGCGGCCGAAAACGGAAGGTCGAAACGGATGAGGATGGATGAGGTGAGGTGATGTGAGGAGGGATCAGATCAAACAGCACCCTCCAACAGCTCCGCGTTTCGTGGTGATCATGTTATTTGTTTTGTCCGAATTGGCCTCGTTACTATGAACGTTTTGGTTCCTTTGATATGTCAGTGTCACTTGGCCGGCTGTTGCAGAAAGGTGGAGGCCGATAAAATAGAGGGCCCGCCCGGCACCTCCGAAATAAAGCACACCGTTCAACACCTCCTCCAAACGGGGGACACCTGTTGAAGTCGACCTTTTTAGAACCCACCAAAGGTGCCCAACGCTTGCTTCTCTACACGAAAGAAAGCCTAGCACAGCTGGTCTACACATGTCCTTGGGCTGCTCTGAGCTGGTCTACACTGCTCGCGGTCGCCCAAAGACCCGAGCCGAGACCCAGGTACATTACGCTGAAGGAGCTGGACCGAGAAGGCTACCGAACCTTGTGGGACTTCAGGACCCCACCAGGGTGGGACGTCCACCGGGACTCCACGCGCGGGGTGGGCGAACCGGGATTGGTCGGAACCAGCCGTGGGGCGAGCGCAGAGGTGTCCTATATGGGTGTCCTGGGGTTCAGCATTTCACACCAAAAGTTGATCCAGAAATGAGGCGACCGGCACCCTAGATGCACCCTAGCCATTCACAAGCAAGCTAGCAGCAAGCAAGCCCTTTTTTCCGAAATCGACTCTCCGCGGAGCGGATGCAGCAGCTCCGAGCCGCCGCGGCTTCGGAACCGGGTCAGGACTTGGGCCGTGGACGAGTTTGGCTCAGCCCGGGCCGCCTTCAGCGTCTTCGATAGCGACAACTCCAACAGCCTCAGCTCGCAGGAGATACTTCCGGATCGATCGATTTTTCCTTGCTGACTAAGTGGGGTTGGTCAAAGAATGTCAATGAGGGGACTTTTCTTCACAAGCCAAACATGGTTTGTTGATGTTTGTCTGACCTTTCTCCTGGCGCAGTTTCTTCAGACCCCCCGTGCTTTCAGGGGGACACAGCGAGGTCCCGGAGTTCTTCACAGCGTGGTCACTGACCACCTCGGCCGTCGCAACGCTGTCCGGCCTCAAGGGTCCAAGATTCGGACGCCTCGTTCAGAGGAGGCCGAAATCGGATGGATTCCAGAAGTGAAGCTTTCCACCCAGACGCGACCCCTGGACCCTTCGTTCAGTAGGGGTCCGGACCCTGAAATCCCTAGGGTTTTGAGGGACCAAGAGCTGTGAACGGAGCATTTGGGCAGTTGCAATTCTTTCCTTTCAATTGTCCACATCTTTGCATGATTGGGAAGAACATGCAGTTCATTCATTTCCAGTGATGTATTTTTTTCTCGGGGCGGTGAAGAGAAAGAACACCTGCAGAAAGGGGGAAGTTGGCTTCCACCACCTGAACTGCACTTGACTTGCTTAAGAAGCTGTGTCATTATAGTTCCATTCATCCATCTCCCAAATTCATCAAACTTTGAGCTTCTCAAACTACCTACAGAATGCTTGCTCCCAACCTGGCCACCTGGCACCTGGCACCTCTTTTGCCGCATACTCCACACTCGCACTTCCGAAACCCACGCCATGAAACCCACAAACGGCAGAGGAGTTTCGTGCGGCCTGTCGGATCTATGGCTATGAGGGTCAGGTCAAACAGCTCTTCAACACCTTGGACGTCGCTTGGCCGACCCACGACCCCCACGACCCCACGACCACACGGGATCCGGGATCGGACGGACCGGGCCGATTGGGTCCGGGAGGGAAGCGCCGAAGCGCTCCTCGACCGCCACTGGGTAGAAAGACATCGGAAGAAGCCGCGGTGGAGCTCAGTCTTTCCGGAAGAACTCCCGCAAGCGAGGGTTCCGAAAGCATCCAGAAGCGCGAACACTCACGAGCTTCTGGGCATTCGTGGGCCCCCTGGGCAGGCTAGCGGTGTGAGCGCGTCGGAGGGTGAGACTTGAGCGAGCTACAGGAATCTTTCATGGCTCAATTTGATGCATTTTCGCAGAGTCAGCGGGCTTGATCTGAGCAATGGAGATTAGAACGCTCTCAGGTGTCCTCGTCACCCAGCTTCATGAGGAGGAATTGGGCTGCATGGTGGAGAGTGGAAAATCTTGTGGGGATTTAAAGCGGCTCCTGGCCAGTCGGGTTGGATATTCCAGGTTTCGACAGCGACTTTTGGGTGAAGATATGGGCGAATTGCAGGATGAAATGCCTGTAAGACAGATACCTAGTGTGCAGTTGGTAATCCTCGGCTTTTCTGCACCTGAGGAAACCGTTTGGGATCAACTGCTCCTTGCCTGTCGGGAGAATCAAGCTCTTGAAGTTGCAAACTTGCTAAAGACACCACTGAATCCAGATGGGAGATGTGCACACAGGGACTCTCCACCGATTTGGCATGCAGCACAACAGGGCCACTTGGAAGTGGTGAGATTGTTGATCGAGGCTGGAGCTGACATGAATGCGAAAGACGCACAATATCATGAGGACACAGCGTTGTTAGTTGCAGCGAGGGGGGGCCACTTGGAAGTGGTGCGTTTGTTGGTCGAGGCTGGGGCTGACATGAATGTGGCAGACACAAATGGGGCAACAGCGTTGTTACTTGCAGCGAGGAGAGGCCGCTTGGAAGTGGTGCGTTTGTTGGTCGAGGCTGGGGCTGACATGAATGCGGCAAACGCACGTGGGGCAACAGCGTTGTTAGTTGCTGCACAACAAGGCCACTTGGAAGTGGTGAGATTGTTGATCGAGGCTGGAGCTGACGTGAATGTGGCGAACGCAGATGGGGAAACAGCATTGCTTGATCAAGCAGCACGGGGCCATTTGGAAGAGGTGCGGTTGTTGCTGAAGGCGGGAGCTGATATGAATGCGGGAGACGCTGATGGGGAAACAGCGTTGTTTGTCGCAGCTGCACGGGGCCACTTGGAAGTGGTGCGGTTGTTGCTCGAGGCTGGAGCTGACATGAATGCGGCCAACACAGATGGGCGAACAGCGTTGTTTTCTGCAGCAGAATTGTGCCACTTGGAAGTGGCAAGATTGTTGTTTGAGGCTGGAGCTGACATGAATGTGGCCGATGTGGCAGATATAGTGGCAAGAGCTGTGCGTGCTGCAGCGGGACGTGGGCGCTTGGAAGTGGTGCGTTTGTTGGTCGAGGCAGGAGCTGACATGAATGCGACAAACACACGTGGGGACACAGCGTTGTTAGTTGCAGCATCGAGGGGCCACTTTGAAGTGGTGCGGTTGTTGCTCACGGCAGGAGCTGACATGAATGCAGCAGACACAGATGGCGCGACAGCGTTGTTTGTTTCAGCTGAATGGGGCTACCTTAATGTGTCAAGATTGTTGATCGAGTTTGGAGCTGGCATAAATGCGGCAAACACAGATGGGGTAACACCGTTGTTTGTTGCAGCTGCACGGGGCCACTTGGAAGTGGTGCGGTTGTTGCTGGAGGCCGGAGCTGACATGAATGCGGAAGACGCAGATGGGGCAACACCGTTGTTTTTTGCAGCAGGATGCGGCCACTTGGAAGTGGTGCGGTTGTTGCTCAAGGCAGGAGCTGACGTGAATGCAGCAAACACAGATGGGGCAACAGCGTTGTTTGTTGCAGCAGAATGGGGCTACTTGAATGTGGTGCGGTTGTTGCTCGAGGCTGGAGCTGACATTTACCCTCAGCAGGCTGAGGCAGCTCGAAGGTGGTGAGATTGCTCATCGAGGCTGGGGCTCAGTTCGCATGCGACAAAGGCAGATTGGGCAACAGCATTGCGACAGATCTTGCGCAGCACGGAGCCACTTGGAAGAGCTAAAACATGCGTCCATTGGCTGCGTCCAGGAGCGATGGGGCAACTACTTTTAGTGGAGTTGTTGTTCAGTCAGATGGACCCACCATTTTATGGGAAGAACGGTGGAATGCACAGAGATCATGTTAGACATGTTAGGTAAGAATAAAGATAAGATGGTAACATTCATTAATTATTCCTCACTCCGACACATTTACACTCCCTGAAACAATCATGGAAGTGGAACAGTTCGGCCCCTGGAAAACCTATTTTCCTTTACAAGTGAGGCCTGCGCAGCTTCCATGATTGTTTGAAGGAGGGTATTATATACCATTTTCTATCCAACAAAGCCCCATGGACCGCATCCCTCAACCACGCCCTGCTTCACGCCCTGCTTCTCTCTCTGCTTCTATCGTGGAGGTTTCAGCCGAGGGCGCTTTATCCCTGAAGGAGGCCGGACAGACAGGCTGACCTGCCTGAAGAGGCTGTGAGAAGTGAATCCTCAAGAAGTACTTTTCACTGACTTGAAAAGCCACGAATGCAGGAAGAATCACAGCCACTTGGAGCTTAAAATTCGTTCTGCCTTCCTTGAGATGTCATGCCAACGCAGAATATCAATGGATCTCTATGGCATATCTGTATATAAATATATGCTATATAGTTCTAAAAAAATATGCGATCATGATATGATGTTATTGTGTGGTCAGTCTCGCAGTATAGGGGCAATCCAACTCCGCCCGTTTCCACCCAGATTGCAGAGCATTCGGTAGTGGGCCAGTGGAACAAGACAGTCATGTGTAAATGGAGTATTGCGTGAACACTATTTGCACTTAACAAGTCACGTCACTTCAATTAAATCCTCAGGATCCACAAAACTCGCTCAGAATCCTTCAAACATGAACCAGTGTCTAGCACACACTAGAGGAACCCCAAAAGTACAAATCCCGGCACATCAACATGTGCTGCAAGTTGAAAAATATCAAGGTTTGGGGTATTTTTCTTTTTTCCAGGACCAAGGTTGGCTACAGAGGATCAGTGAGAACACGGTATTCTGTTCTCTTTCGAAAACCCCCCCACCTTTCCGTCACCTCGACGGAAAACCCCGTTTCTTTCGCCCAAACCCGACGTGCGCGACGAGTGTTCGACGGCTCGACGGCCAGGTGTCCTTCCTGGACGACTGGATCGAAGACCCTTCCGAGATCTCCAGCCAGGTCGCGACCGACGGCGTGGGGGACGGCGTGGGGGGATGTGGCTGCGCTGTCTCGGTGGGTTTGGCAAAGGTTAACACATAAAAACACAAGTACAATATATGGTAAAATATTGTTAATCTTAATATGTTATTTAACTATATGTTGTTGTTTTTAAACAAATGATATCATATGTGCAGTAATATTCGATTTTTAGTATTGTGGGTTCCGATGTCACTGAAGTTGGGTTATTTGGGAGACTGCGTGTCCGCCCTTGACCCGATGCCTTCCTTGGGTGGACCTGAGTCCCGTCACGAAGCGTTCTTGGCAAGTAGCGATCGCATGATTGTCTCCAAGTAGGGGAGCACTGCACGATAGGTAGCAAATACCAGTCAGCGAAGACGGGGGCTTTGGTGATTTGATTAGAAGAAATCTATCTTAGTTTGGCTTTAGAACGAACTGGAGCCAAAAGATTCTTGATTCTTGGTTCAAACTGCCCCCAGTTCTTTAGAATGAACTGGAGCCCCCAGTTCAAGTCTCAGAATCTTTTGGCTTGAGAATTCCTACTTCTGGTGACTTGAACTGGAGCCGATTCTTTGGATTTGGATGGATGTGGGCCATCGACTTCGACCCATTCAGTGACTGGGGGGCACTTCGATCTACACCCCTCCAAGTTCTGCACGACCCCATGCAGCCCGCGCCGTCGCGCGGTCCGAGGCGCGTAGGGTTTCCACGAACTGCTTGGTGACTCACCTCCGCCCCTTGGCCACGACCGCAAGGCGAAGCATGAAGGATCTTAAGGAGCATGAGATGTGGGCTTTGGTTCCCCCAAGTGTTTCTATCAGGCCTTTGCGTGGTTGAAACCAATACAGATGACTGCTAAAGTCGTGCCTGCATGTTGGAAATCGTAGCAAATAGCTTGGGGAAAGGTTTTTTTTTTTTTCAGAAGTCGTGCCTTTTTGCTCAACGCATTGTAAATGCAATCCGAAATGGTGGTTTTGAAGCTTTTTTTGATGTATTTTGTTGCGTTTAGCTTCAACCCTTCAACTGTGGAGGAGGCGACCCAAGTTGGAGATTTGATGTCCACTCTGCGGAAAAGAAAGCAGAAAAACAGTGAAGAAAAGCTTGAAGCCGAACCACCAGCCAAAAAACAGACAACTCAGCCACTTGCACCTGAATCGACTGCTTCAGATGTACTGGCTGACAAGTCGTTGAGCGATGAAGAACATGACTTAGGAACAAGTGATGGATGTATATCATACATTTTGTCTTCTTTCAGCAAGTCCCGAAGGGATGAAATCAAACCGGTGGCTGAGTTTTTCGTGTGCAGCCACCTCAAACCACTGTGCCGAAAAGAGCCATTGTGGTCCGTGTTTCAGAAACAGGTTCTGAACAAAGGGATTTTGAAATCCACCTCCGGCCGAAGCGCTTGGCTATCGGCATGGCGTGCAAACCGTGGAAAGCGGTTTGCAAAAGTTGCCAAAAAATAGAATTCAGAGATCGCACGGCTCCAAAAACTGTTGCGTTTAGCTTGGGGGAAGCATGAAAGGCATGAGATAGGCATGACTTTCCCAAAACTGCGTTTACATGCTGGAACACATAGATTTCAGGACGCAGGCGTGAGTTAGGCATGAGTTTCGCGCTTGCCTGTATGGCTTCGTCCTCTTTGTTACAAAGCCATTGTAGTATATGGTTCATCATATAGATTCATACCACTCAAGCTACACCTTGTTGCTTGTTGAATCCCTGGAAGTCAAGTCGACCATTTTTAAAACGGTTGATCTGGTCTTGTCGTGTCAAACCGTCAAAGGTTCGGGATGGTTCGGGATGACCCGGCTATTAAACCTAATGGGGAAGTTCGACTTCGACCGGTCCAATTCCGGTGACGTCGACGTCGCCTCAGGTGGTGATCCCTTGCGCCGCGGCGCGCTAACAGGCACCGACGCAGCCGGGAAGCCCTGAGAGCGGCGCCGGGCGCCGGGCGTCTTGGTGGTGTAGAGCTGACCATCCGATGGTGGCCATGTATGGCCTGAATTGTGGCATTCGTGGGTTGATAGTAGGGTTCCGTGGGTTTGCAGGTTTTGACCTTGACATGTGTTTTTGTTGGGATGGGGATGGGGTGTCACATATGATGGATGGACACCTGGACAGCGTTGGGACCGACGGGCGTGTCGGACGTTCAGACCGAGACTTGGAGCATTTGAGGAGACCTGGCTTTTCTTCATGTATGATATACTATCGACTAGTGACAAAGGAGTTGTAAAACGCATTCCCTGGGTCTTAATACAACTCCTTTGTCATGGGTCTTAATAATTGTTTTAGATGAAAATTAGTATATAATACATTCCCTGGATCCGAAAGTCACCTCTGAGCGACCTGTTGGTCTATGACTTTTCCTTGAACTTGATCGAACATTTTGTCCAAGAAGCACCGTTCATGTCGCGCATGTTCGCGCAGTTCATGTCCGTTCATGTCCTGTGAGTCCCTTCATCTGGTTTTGTACCATTGGATCGGAATTCAATGGACCTACCCGGAGAAAGTGGAGCAGTTGCTTAAAACCTGTTTTTGTTAATCAAATCACTCCAAAAGAACGGGTCGAAGATAGATGGCCCTTCCTGCAACAAACATCGTTGCGTGGAGTTCACCCCTGTGTTTGGGATTTCAGGGTTCTTCCAGGGGGGCGCCATCCACGTCACCACAGGGAGGGTACCCATGGCTCCCCACATCTCATGTTGACCAACCCGTCGCAACAAGCACCGCAGATGGAAGAGATGCAACAGAAGGCGTGACGTGCGTGGAGTCAATGTGGTGTGTGCGCCACACAACAAGGACTGCATTCTGACTGACTAACATGGAAGTGGAACATGCATGCAGGTAGTATAGTCTTCTTTGAGAACAGTTTCTTTTTTCCACCGTGTTTTCCCAAGTGATGTTGAAGGACAGGATCCCTTTAGTGATGCCTTTGTGGTGTTCATCTCCTACCTCCTCTTTCATGTTGATCCACTAGCACCGTTATCATCATCGACACGGCCATGACATTAAGAATAACAGAATAGCATGGATTCAAATGATGTTTTCTGCTTGTTAGTTCCCATGTTGAGCAAATATCATCCCATCATCCGAAGGGCAATGTTTGTGCACAAAATTTCAATGCCGCTCCTTGCACTTTCAGGTGGTTTGATTTGTAGATTTTCTGGCAGATGGTGCTGCTACTGTCAACTGCACCACCCGCCCGTACTAGAGTCACTAGTTCAGCTGCCCGCTAGCGGGTCACCATAAAACTGGCTGAGAGGTAGCCACTAGCCATTCAAACCCTAGCAATTCCTTGTTTGCCCGGACGCCACTCTACACCAATCCAATAGCATCCAATAGCAAATCCTAGCCGAATCGTGGCTGTGGATGCAAACAGATGTTAGGCTCCCAAACTCGTCTAGGAACGGTGTCCAATACATCTTAAGTGGGGATCTATACACATGTTCTATCTCTATCTGGAGGTAGAGTGCTTAAAGAACCATCTACAAGGATCTATCTATGGTTCTTATAGATGGTTCCTTATGGGTAGAGTGTTCAAAGGATCTTTAAAGAACCATCTATAAGCAAGGCCCCGACCTCTGCTGACCTCAGCCTGTGGGCCGCCACGTGGCGGCGGTGACTTCCTTCGTTCGCACAGCTAGACAGAGCTTAAATCAAGAGCTTAACGTACAAAAACGCTTGATCCAAACTCCATTTAAATATATTTGTTTGCACTTGTTTGCTTGTTATATCGGCTTGTCATTGGCTTTTTTCTTGTACCCCCCAAAACGGGGAGCCTTCAAGTGGCCCAGCCCAAGGTCCAATCCTTCCTTCCTTTCCCAGCCCTTTTGTGGAGCCCTTGGGCGGGTCTCACCGCTGTCCAGGTCTTGGCGATGGAGGAGGCGGAGGAACTCCTCAAGACCTGGAAACGCCCCGCCGCTTGCGCTCGATCGGCGCCTGTCGGTGGCGGTGCTGCGGTTGGGATCATTTTTGGGTTGGGCACCGGGTCAATGCGTGCTTCAAAAGAAACGAAGTGAATGGAACAGCTGGGGTTGTTGGTCGCATCACGACAAAGGAATTCGCGGCCCTGCCAGCCTGGTGCAGAAAGGCTTCCCAGGCTCCAACTCAGAAGGTTGATTCAAAGCCTTTCCAGATGTCCTACCCTGGCATTTGCAAGCTCAACCTTGGGAAGGCCAGCTTATACAGAAAAGACTCGTTCTGGCGCCTTCCAAGGCACAGTGCCAGATTTCCAATTTGCAGCTTTCATTGGACACTGTGCTTCAACAGAACAATCCGGCCTTGCAATCACTGCAGTCGACGCCCATGGCAGCTACAGTCACGGGTCGGTCAGAAATAACAACCAGACCACTTGGGCGTGGGACGATAGACTGAGCACCATGCATTCGGGGAACATGCGTCACACGCACAAACATCTTAACACCCATGACACCAACAACCTCGTTCCATGTCAGCTTCCAACCACACTGAGCGACTAGGGGCACACCCCTTTGTTCGTTAAAAGGGATCACACATCAAGACCTTCAAGTTTTGCACGCGCGCGCGCGGACGCAGCACCCAAACGCTCGAGGTCGAGAGTCCCATGAAGCTCGTGAAGCTTTGTAGGACGTGGACCGGCAGGGTGGCGGGTATGTGTCGACTAGGAGGAGATGTCCAGATCTCAGCTGCGAGGGCTGAGACAGTTTGGATGAGGTGGGAGGTTTGCAGAGTATGTTTGCCTTCTCCCCTACCCTACCTACTAAGATTTGCGTACAAGAATTTCATGACCGTTTGTCCTTTGTGTGTTTTAAGGAGCAGGTATTTGTGCCGCAAATTTACAGCAATTGCAGTATCACAAAATGAAGTGCAAGAGACCAGTTGATAGGCAGTCTCGTGGCACCATCACCAGTCCTCATCAAAGATTATGGACCAGTGCGGAACATAGAACTAATATGCAGAAGAGTATGCAGACGCTATCTTGGTGGGAGGTGGTATGAGTTGGCTGGAAATTGATCCGCTAATACATGCTAATACACATGAGACACAGTAACTTTCCTGGTTCACGACTGGTTCATGACTCTATTCAGGAGCTGCTGTTCATCACTTTGTTAGTACACATAATAATTATACAGTTATACACATGACTTGTTCACACACCGGTTTTGAACGTCTCACTTCAGTTTTTGAGAATGAAGTAACAGGGAGTACTTTGAGCTGCGTATGAGGTGACCCCTTTAGCAGGAGGGAGAGTCCTGAACACTGTGTTGGACGACTCCTGTTCATGAATTTGGACCTGTGTGGATTTGGAGCTTCTCACAGTGATGAAAGTACAGCCACACGAGAAGGGTTGGAGGCCTCGGCAGAACCCCAGTCGAGTGACACCGCAGAGCTCATTGCAGGAAGCACTTCAAACAAGATGTCGGAGCTCCAAGATGTCCTCAGTGGCGAGGTTGATGATGATCTACAACCATCTACAACCCCCCAGGATCAATAGGCTTTGACTAGGGCCTAGGGCGTGTGTCCCAGTAAGCCAGTAACAGCCGGTAAGAGATTATCACTATTTGTTTATCTATTTTTGGGAAAGACCTGCAACCTAGCCATCATCATCCACTGTCATTCGTAGAGTATACCCATGTCACAGGAGAAGATCCCACAGCCCCCCCCCATCGACTGTATAGTTGGGATAGAACGCACACTCGAGTCCCGCGGAGTCTCTATACTGGACGTCAGATGAATCAGACTCCTTTCAGTCCCTTTCAAGGTCCGTTTCAGTGCTTCCTTCGGAGCCGGAAACCGGTTCCGTGCGTTTCTCCGTTGAAAGAAAGGAGCCCAAAACGGAGGTCGGTCGGGTCGGGTTGGGTCAGACCGGGCCGAAAAGGGGAGCTTTTTCGGATGGATGGCTTTGACCCGATGCATGGCTGCTTGGATGTATCGGGTCATGACTCCTATTCTTCGGGTCGTCCGACCAGAGGCCGCGATAGAAGTTGTGAAGAGTTTTTTAGTTGATGTCAAAAAAACGCGGGCAAAACGCTGAATGAGGCGAGCCCTCAGGGTAAGAACAGCCTGGCTTCCTCGGAAGCTATGCGAATATGATCGACATAAAAGTCATGTCCTTGGGGGGGAGTCAGGATTGATCATGGATTCTGCTGCAGAGGTGGCTCAATTCTCCTGACTGTCTCAGCCTCCACTCCAACAAACACACTCGTGTGAACACTCGTGGACACTCCTTGCTGGGATGGAAGCACCGTGCCGCTCAGCCATCCACTGCAATAGTTTGGTTATATTTTTTCGATGGTATGGGGTGCCAGTCCCAAACCGAAACTCAGCTGCTTGGTGTGGAGTAGAAACTGCTTACGAGCCTCTCATTACCAAGGCACTCAGAACGATCGAGAGGCAGCTTGGGGATGTCGGCTTGCGTGGTCCCGGAGGGAGTCAAGCATAGAATTGCGCTGGCTTTGATAGTTAGTTAGGGCATGTGGCTACCAAGTGTGGAAGAGGGCGCCTTGTTCGTACACAAAAGGATATCGCACAGACGCTAAACCAAAGCAAGTAAAGATAAACTTTTGAGTGGGTAGGTCAAGATCTGGTCAAGATGGTTCGAGTTGGTCAAAGCGATCCAATGTGCTTTTTGTCCCGGGATTTTCTGGCAGGTTTTCCAGGGGATTGTGCAGCGCCAGCCAGTCATTGATGCGCTCTTCTTCTTCTGTCCGAGACCAGCACACTTCAAGAGTCTTGACGAACAATTTCTCGGTCAATGGATCTGGTCAAAATGGGAAATCATCTTACGCCACTGAAGAAACACTGCTACCCTACATACATCTGCACATATCTCCAGTCGGTGTCCAGTCGGTGGCTATCCCGATGTCGACATCGCACAGGCCTGGTGGTGCTGTGATCTTGGATCGACTGGCTGGACCCGACTTTTGTCTGCGCTTCTTCTTGAAGCCTCTCGGCTGAACTGGCAGGGTGTATGGGGTATATCATGGTATATCACTTATGAATCATCAACATTTAGGGGGCATGGCGATGTATGGTGTTCTGAGTATGTCTTCATGTATTGCTTCGGGCCCTCAAGATGTATTGCGGCGATTGGTCTTATGTGTCCAACCAGATTGATGAGATTCCATATTCGTCACTTATAGTTTGTACCTCATTTGCCCTCAATGTAGTCTCTTGACTGAGTGAGTTCCCCTCAACACTTTCTTACAAAGTCTTGCAACCACTGGTCGTGCATGGACTGACCACTGGTTCTAAAAGTCCTTATTGGAAGATGAGCACTGAGCACTACTCAGTGTGATGTGCCATTAGCTCTGGGGATGCGAAGCCCACCAGAGCTGTGAAGCTTCAGATTTTTCACATGTCCAAGGACGATTCCCTAGGGCTCCTGGCCCACCTCCTGAGAAGATGGTTGGGGTGGGTGCCAGCGGGGTCTAACCACCTTCTGAGGATATGGTTGGAGCCCTAGGGATTATATGGTAACGTGAAACGACCAACCCTCCAAGTGCTGCAACACCCTTCACCGTGGCGCGCTTCACCCGGCGCCGCCGGAGCAAGCGGCCTCGCCACTGGAAGACAGCACCCCTCGGTGGGTGAGGCAGATGGAGCCCGCCAGCGAGACGAGATCCAA